CTCCCTCTCCCCAACAAAAAATAACCAAACACCCATACCTCAAAATAGCTTTTACAAGGTTTCTGAATACAAGATCTAGAAGCATTACAACATTCATAAATCAGAAAAACACCTCAGACCATTAAGTTTTAAGAGACAATTAAAGAACCAAATTCAAAAGAGTACTAATGATAAACTGCACACAAACAATACCCAATGCTCTTGAGGCACGCTGCCTTGACAATTTCAACATTAATACACCAAGTTTAAAAATTAGTCTGAGACTCTCTGGGCAGACACCTTTTGTAAGGCCTTTATCCCAAAGAATATTCACTCCTGAATATTGCATTAAGAAGCATATTTTTAATGAATTAATGGGGGTCCATTGCAAGATCCGAGACAATTGAAAAAACCAACATGCTAATGTGGCCAGTGCCCCTCCATTAAATCTGACAAGTCAGCAAAACCCCAGCTAAGCACAGGCTACATTTACATAATCACAAACAATAAGGTCATGTACAAAAGTGACTAGATAACTTTCCAGGGAGAACTCATTTACAACCAGAACACAGTTCTTCAGCTCTACTTCATGCAGTTCTGCTTAACGCGACCCGACCGTCGCAAAGACTGCACTCTTGGGCACTAAGCTCCCCAAGTTCACATGCACTTTTCTCAGTGAGAAAACTAAACAGAGAGAGTAACATTCACCAAAAATATATCCTCGTATTGCCTACTTGGATGTTTTTACACTCACTTTGTTAAATTTGGCAGACAAAAAGAGGCAGCCTATTTGACACAAACTTAGATTTATCTCCAATAGCCAGATGCACGGTTAAGTTTACATGTAAAGGTAGACACAGTTTTAAATCATCTTCAACACAGTTTTGAAGGAAAGGCGTAAGTTTTTCAGGGACAGGTTACCGAGGAAAAATGAATTCTTGATAAAGTCTTCTTCAATATCTTTTTGAAAACAGTAAAAACCCCAGGTCTGATCCGTGTACATTCCGATCAGGTGCAAGAGTCTGTGCACTTACAGGTTCAAGAAAACAAAATGTAAATTTACAAATTAGACTACTGAGATTTCAGTTAATAGTTCAGGCACATTTGTTCATAGTCTGATGAAAGCATACAACTTAAGTACCTCATTAATTTCAATCTGTCAACATACTACTAAGGAGTTTGAAATGTCCAGTTCAGTTTTTAAAAACAGTGCAAGAAAACAGGTACAGCTCTATTCACGGTCCACAAAGGGGAGCATTAAAATATGTCAGTTGTCAGAAAAACAAAAATATCCAGGTTAACATCATGAAAGTTAGTATCTCAAAAGCTTAAGAAAAAAAAAAAAAATCAGGTCACATTTGATGGTGCAAACAATTACAGGAAATACAGCCTATTCCACATTCAGGAAAAGCCCTCTCTTCCCACAGGTTTGCACCAGTCTGATAAAAACAATTCAGCTTCCTAGTTATTATGATGTGCTCTTTAAACATCCTTGTTAATCCACAGAAGACTTATTTACGCATAAAAAGTTAGAAGCACACATATGGAAAAATAACTGTAACCTACACAAAACTGTAACTTTCACATTTTATGAAAGTAGTTCTTAAAAAAAATGTTTCCTCAATACACTTCTTACATTTAAGCTAATCTTCAAAAACAAAATGCTGCAAGACAGAGATCATCTACCAAGTTAAGCACTAAAATTTTCTCAGATCAAGAAGGAGGATAGAGTTCAGAAAGGAAAACATGCTTTGGATAATACATGCAGCATAGAAATGGACTCCAAAAAAGCAGATGTACATTCTGTAACCAAACCAGACTAGATGTACTGTTCACCTAAACTCACAGGTCTCTATCTCTTGCTGCATACAATTACAAGAAGTAAGCACAGCAGAAGCCCATTTGAGTTCTGTTTTTAAATACTGGCATGTAACAATAAATAAGTAATAATAAAAAAACTACCCTAGCATTCCAGTAGGGAAGGCAATCCCACCTTTTATTTGTTTGAATTCTTAGGGTTATGACTTTATTTCTTCATTTTGATCAGCACACAAAATAAAAGACAATGGCTGATCCTAATATTATTCTTTTCAAGCATAAACAAAGCCTTCAGGAAAATGGTTGTATTATAACTAAAAAAAAACCAAAAACAAACACCTGCCTAAAGCACACAACAACAAACTAGAAGAAGCAAATCAAATGACAGGGTGGAGGGGGCAAAGAAGGAATGTGAACCCTGTAGCTTCATTTTTGTATTATATATACCTATACATACATGCACTTGCCCCAAATACTTGGTATTCTCAAGGGTGCCAGGAAACAACTGATGAAACCTTGAAATAATACACTTTTCAGTAAGCACATTAAATCCTGCAGACTTTTCCAGCAAACCTGTAGTTGACTATTACTAAACCCTTCTGCTGGAGGACGTCAGCGGAGCATACAGCTCAAGGTATTTAACACAGCCCCCACTGCTGCGTAACCAGGATAGGTGTTTCACAGGGATACAGTCGTTCCAACTTCTCAACTGTTTACTGCTACTGCCTATTCTACCTAGGTAATACTGCCTGGAAGCATACAATACGTGGAGGTCCATGCAAATACAGATACCTGCACAAATCCACCAGTATTTTGCCATTCTTTGGCGTCTTCTACCAGATTTGATAATTTTACTGCCCGAGTCAACAGCGGTGCTCGCGGACTCACGCCTCGGAAAAAAAAATAACTGGCGCCCCTTAGTGTTCAATTTCTGAAGTCTTGAAGCAATTTACTAGATTTGCATGAAACTTTTTTTTCAACATTCCAAAAAGTTTTCTGCCTCCACAATACTTCCAACCCATTTGCCAACGTAAACAGGAAAAGCAGAAAAGCTTAAAGGGATAGCGGGCTTCTTCCAGAGACCATTTAGGAACACAGATCATATTTTATTTGCTTTTCTTTTGAAGAAGAGAGCGAAGAATAGTTCCAACACAGTCCTTAAACTTTGTCAGCAAGAGTCACAAGAGAGTCTCGTTTTGGAACTCCAATACTTTGCAGACAGACTTCCAGTTTTCAGTATTTCAAAATATACTACAAGATTTAAGTATTTTGGGTATTCCTTTTTCAGTGTTCTTTTTGCATTGGGTAATGTTTTTCTTCCTTTTGTTCTCTGAAAATAAAAAAACAGCTTCAGGCCTCCTCTGGCCAAATACATAAAGCTGAAGACATTGCAGAATTTAAAAATCCGTTATCAAACCTCTGGAAGGCTCATTTGTGCTATAAAGAAGTCTTCTTGGTCAAGTTTCTTCTTGATGCTTATTGTAAATCTAACTACTCTGAAGAGGTGTTCACTGTGATGACCAAGAACGTAAGCTCTAAAATAGTTTTGCTCTTCATATCCACATTTGCTCCAATATAAATTCAAACTCCTCCAAGTATCTTGAAAATAAAAATAGGCTCTCCCATTATAATGCTTCCCACAATCCATATTTCAGTATTCTTCACCGTTTGTTTGGGTTTCTTTAAATTCCTCTATCGTTTATTTCAGAAGGTAGCATTTTCTCGACATGCTATTTTTGTGTCGTACTACAGTCGCTATCTCATTTTTACAGTCTTGGCAGAGGGCGGGGAGTTGTTCTACCAAATATAACCAGTTCTTTCATCTTCCGAGGTCAACAACTTCCCAAACTTCTTTTAGCGAAGAGGAATACATCCGCAAACAAGAACCCTAACTCAAAATCTCGAAAATCAGTACTTCATACTAAGAATCCCAACAAGCTGAAACTGTATAAATTATCATATCATATTCCACAAAGCTATCAAACACAATTAAACAAACAAGTCCAAGTCTCCATAAAGCCTAACTTTAAAGTCACAGCAAAGGAAATGCCTTCGACAAGAAAAACAAACCTGTGAACCCGAGTATAAGAATTTAAAATACTAAGAACAAGTGTTTCACCTAATTTTTCATACACAGTGGGTCTTTTACTGTAGTGGAAAAACGCATGGGACACAAGAAGCTCCCAGCTCGTACTTTTCTTGTTAATTTCTAAGCCGTGATTATTTATTTGTGAAATCCTAACCCTAAACAAAGTTATTAGGGAAAAAATTGGGGGAATAGGGGGGGCCTCGCTCCGTGCCAGGACCGGGTGCGAGGCTGGGGTGGACGTTTGGCAGGAGCAGACCAGGCAATTTCGTAATCTTTTCTGTTTCTCCCCCTTCACTAAAGTCACACGTAGGAGTCTTTCAAGTTCAGTTTCTTTAAAAGGTAAGGATAGCTTGAGAGAAGAATTTGCTCGCTTCCCTTGCGATATAGGAAAATCGTAATTAGTTTGCGGCCAGTTCGGGGTGGGGTAGATCTGGAGCCGAAGAAAGAGCTCAGCCCCCCTCCGCCTTAGTCATTCAAGTCCAAGCAGCTTCCAGAACAGCCAAATCTCGAAACCAAACACCCCCCGCCCCCCCGGCGGGGGCCCTGGGGCCGGGCGGCGGAGCGCTCCGAGGGCGCCGGCAGGACCCCAGTGTCCCCCGCCGCCGCGGGAGGGAGGGATGGAGGGAGGGGAGCGCCAGCCGCCAGCCAGCCTTTCCCCTCCTCCCTGCCTTCCCCCAGAGCGCATTCCTGAGCTCCTCTCCTCGCTCCCTCCCCTCCGTGCTGTAGTTACCCTTCCCCCGGTTTAAGGAGATAGTGCGGAAAAGGGTAAAAACACACACACGAAAAAGAAAAAAGGAATAATAAGGGGGAAAACCCTCGGGGGGATCGGGGACCCGCGCGGCCGGGGCTGCCTCTCCCCTCCCACTCGCTCCCCGAGTCTCCCGGCACCGCGCGGCGGCGGCCAGGGCGGGGAGAGCCCGCACTTCCCCTTTGTTTTCGGCTCCCCAGCCGGGGCCGGGAGCGTGCGGGGAGCAGCGGGGAGAGCGGAACAGGCCCCGGGCCGCCCCCGCCGCCCGGCCGGGTCAGGGCGGGGGCCCGAGCGGGATCCCCGGGGCGGGGGAGGCAGGGCAGGGCAGCGGGGCGGGGGAGGGGGCGGCCGGGTGAGCGCTTTTACCTTCGTCCAGCAGCCTCTCGAGGTGGTTGAAGATCCCGCAGAAGTTGGGGAGGCTGCTCATCAGCTTCTTGTCGTTCATCAGCTGCATCAGGTAATCGGGGCTCGGCTTCGGCTTCTCCTTGGTTTCCATTTCCCCAACCATATTCCAAGCCCGCGCAGAGACGGCGAGCGCCCGCAGCAGCTCTGCCGAGCAACGCGACCGCGGCACGGGGCGCCCGGCTGGATCCGGGCGGGCAGGGAGGCGGTGAACTCGGTAGTAACCCCCGTGCGGGCTGCGCCCTCCTCTCCGGGCACAAGGACCCGCTGCCGCCTCTCGGTGCTCCTGCCGCCGCCGCTTCCCTGCTCCGTGCGCCCTCGGCCGGCGCAGTCCTCGGTGTGTCCCCCCTCCTCCTCCTCCTCCTCCCGCGCACACACACGCTGAGCCCGGTTCTCCTCTCGGCGCTGCCCCCTGTCTCCGCGGCGGGGGAGGGAGGGAGGGGACGCGCGGGGCGGGCGGGCGCTGCTGGCGCGGCTGCCGCTTCCGGCGCGGCCCCGGTGTCGCGTGGCGGGGGGTGGGGGGGGCAGGTGTGCGCGGGGGCTGCGGCCGCGCTTGCGCGCGCGGGCGGTGGGCGGCGCGAGGAGCGATTCCCGGTCGGTCCCGGGGCCGGGCGGGGAGCGCGAAGCCGCGGGGAAGCCGCCAGAGTGCCCCGGCAGCCAGCCACCCACCGGCTCCGCGGGGGAGGGGCGAGCAGGGAGAAGCGGGGCTGCCGGGAGCCGCTCTCCGCGGCTGCGGGGTCACGGGAGCGCCGGGTGGCCGCGGGCGGGGCGCGGAGAGGGCCGGGGTCCGTCCGCTAACCGTGGCGGGCACGGCCGGCCCTTTTCCCCGAGGGCGCAGCGCCTGCCCCCGCCGGCAGCCCGGGCCGCTGAGCTCCTTTGGCCCGAGCCTCCCCGGCAGGGCTGCGCCTCGCCCTTGTTGCTTGTAGGGCAGCGCCGCGTTTGGCATCAGCCGTGGCTTGTTTGACGGGCTTGGATGGGAGACGTGACGGGAGCAGCGGTGTCCGGCAGCCAGAACCAAAATTACCGTGCTCCATCCGCTGTAGCCGCAGAGGCAAAGAAAGCAGCGCGACGCGGTTGCTTGTACGTATTCCTCCTTCCCCACGCAGCTACTCGGTGCTCTTACTTGGTGTTTAGCACTTAGGAGGCTGTCAGGAGGCAGTTCGCGGTAGCTTGGCAGAGCTTTTGTAACAAAGCTGGATAAAAATCGCTGCATTCTTCACGTAGCTCGCTGAAAGCAGTCATATTTCATAGGTCTAGGTATAAAGTCTAACTGTTGCTTGAAATCTGTAAAAAATTCAGATGCATTTCAATACATACTGCACAGTATTTGAAGATACTTTCAATGTTAGGTTAATGCAATGAACAATGCTTCCTAAACTAGAAAGAAACAGACACACGTCATCTTGACAGGTGTACAGTGTCATTGGGTATTGTCAAGCAGTGTTAACTCTGCTTTTCCTGAAAGACGTGCATTGACAAAAATGTAGTTCTCATAACAGTAAGAATGCCTTGGATTATTGCATTATGTCCAGTGTTCATTGTATATTCCCCCTTTAAACAGGTAGACAGAACTCATTATTTGGACACTGGAGTTTTTATGTCATTTCAGGGTTTTGTTTACATGAGTAGAAATTAATGGCTTATGTAAGGTAAGTCAATCTTACTGCTTCCATCCTTAAAAATTTGTATATTCACTAAGAAAATAATATCTTTGTTGTCAAAGAATAGCAGTGTTACAAACCATTATTTTAAATATAGATTCTTAGTTCATCAATAGCTTGCCCACAACACACCGCAGTATGCTTATGGATGACAAAACAATGCGGTTTCTATTTAGTAACATGATTGTGTTTGCTCTAATCTAACCTTGTCTTAAGATTGTGACAAGCCAAAATACAACTTTACATGCTTAACAAAATTGCCATTGTCTTGTTTCTTGTAGACCAGTCTGGACAATGATGCATTTTTGTAGCCCTTTGCTTGCTCATATTTAGCTGGTGAGTGAAGGCTCTTTTTAACCCTGAGAAACCATGCTGTGGAATCCTTCCATTTGATTAAGGGCATCTGCTGAACAGCAAGCTTTCCTCTTAAAATTAGATGAACGTACGTGATGTTAGAATAATTGTTCTGGACTGATGATTCTCACAGTAAAAATAGCATATGGAGACTTTTTCAACAGATTTGGTGCAGCTGTTCCCATACCACTTCATTATTGCTTCCTGCACATAATGAGTTTCCAGTGCTCAAGTGTAAGCAGACAATACAAGGTAAGAAATACCAGCACAAGTTGTTGTGCAGTAACACCAGTAATCTACTAATGGGAACAATATAGTTTGTCCTAAGATATTTTGTTCTCATTTAGTGAAAACTGAGATGGTGCACATCAACACTTGTGGAATCACTCATGCCAGTGCAACGCAAAATTCAAGCTCTGGTTTGCTCAGTTGTTAAGCTGAATTATTTTCTCAGAACAGTACAGAAATTGAGGCAAAGCTATGTGGTGAAGCTGCCCGTTTAATTAGGCATAAATGACAGGAAGAGTTCTCATCCTTGATTTTTTTCCATAGATACTTCAAAACTCTGAATTTAAGTCTTTAGAAAAAAGCCTTTGGAAAAGCTGAATGTTTTAATAAAATGCAAAAAGCTCATAATTGGTTTCAGATAGGCAAATCAACATGGTGTCTTTCTTTAGCAAGTACACAGCAAAAACCAAAAATGCTACGTGAAAACCCCTCTCAGCATATTTTATGTTCTTCTCTCTCCCTTTACCTTCCCACACTCCCACATTGTATTAAAGGGTGTTTTAAGAATTCCTGGGAGAATAAAGTTGAATTAATTCAGGTTAAAGAGCTGTGAGAAGGCATAGCTCCCATCAAGACTGGCATGACTACAGCCTGATCTGTTAAAACAGTAGAAATCCTTTTGCACTCTCTTAATTTTACAGCTTTCCCATGGGGTAGGAAGGCTGGGGGGAGGACATGGTACAGGCCTGGGTAAACAGGTTCTGTGATATGGGGGAAGGGGAGGGGGCAGGGAGGTAGAGGTTGCTTAGTCTGTTTCAAGATAACCAGGTCTTGTGGTCTTGTAAGGTTCTTTTGGTAACTACCCAATGTCTCAGCTTCTATCTAGACACAAAGAGAAATTCTTGTCTTCAGCTGTGTTTTCATCTAGGTAGCCCTGCTTGTATCATGTAACCTGTAGTACTCTCCAAGTTTCTCTTTTAAGGTGAAGTTTTATTGCATTAATCTAATCTCAAAGTTAGAAGAATTATGATAATGCTAGCAGCAGCCTCTGTGTATTACAGTAAAGGCCTGCAATGATCATAAAAAGCAAATTCAATTACTGCTATAATGTTCATAGCTGATAACACCTTTGGAAATAGAGGCAAAGGCTAATGACTACTGGGAAGCACGGTCTTTCAAAAGTGTTGGCTATTACTTCCAGTGTCTCTGTTGGGCAAATCATAGGCATAGGCTGTTGGATGTCATCAGCCTTCTGTGATGCTGTCTGTAACAGGAAGGTATTTATATGCTGTACTACTCTTCTTTAGGGAAAGAAGTAATTCTTCACTCACCCATTACAGCCACTTGAAAAAAATACATTGTGTGTGTGGTTCAGTATAGAATCATTCATGGTGTACAAAGGGTAGAGCTACTGTAATCAAACATGCCCAAAAACAGATGAACATCTGAAATACATTTATCTCTGCAAAGTGATGAATTCCTTAACAGAGTAAGGTCTGCAGCCAAACTAAAAATCTCAAGGACCAGTTACATGAAAATTCTGTGCTGTGTTTGACAACAAAAACATATTTCCCTTGACAGTAAAGCAAACTGACAGGTAACTTTTCAAGCAGAAGCTGTAGTAGTGTGTCATTCAAAGAAGTAAGCAGATGATGTAGTGTTCAAAAGGGACATGTCTGAGTATTCTGTGTAATCCTGGATGAGATAATGCCTGTATTTGTCCAGTAGGGTTGTTATGTGATTGCTGAAGAGCTGAAAGATGAAGGCTTTAAGCACACCATAGTCTGGAAAGATTCAGATTTGTATCTCTTATACTTGAAAAGCTACTTCGAACTGTACAACAACTGTGAAGAAGGGTGTAGTAAGCCACAATATCAACTCCTGGTAGAACTGGCTCTTCCTCAGGCTGGAATAAAGGAGCCAGAAGAGATACCTTTGTGATTCATCCACTTAAACAAGAGTAGGAAGAGCTACATTCTCGTTGTTCCTGTAGCTGTGTATTAATTATGCAGTCATTAAGCTGGGGAGAAGAGACAATGCTAAGTGAAAAGAAAGGGGGGGTTTTTTTCCCTTTTGGCCTAAATCTTGAACCGATTAGCTTTCTTGATAAGGTGTGTGTTTCATATACCTTAAGTCACTGTTACAGGACACTGTTACATGGATAGGAAGGAGGGGACTAAATTCTGCTTGATAAAATACTAAGCATTTTGTGTAACTCTCAGTAGTTAGGGAGGGCAGGGGTACCTCTCTGTTGGGCTTCACCTGAGGTACCTGCCAGAGAGTTAAGCACGGAAAAGAAGTAATTCAATATATAGTAGAGTGTGTTACAGCTGTGTTCAAGACTATCATAGAATTATTGCCTAGGAGATGGCACATTCGAGTAGATAAATTCCATGGGTTTGCAACAGCTGTACATGAAGTTTCTTTAAGTGCTAGGCAGACATTTTTTCTAGAAAAGATAGTCTTTTAGCGAGAAGAAGAGGTGTGTCTGTCTAGAGAGGGTGGATCTTCTGCTGTGCTCTTGAGAAATCTCTGTGATTTAAAAACAAAGTTTAGATGAATTTCATTTCTCACTGTCCAGTAGGAGATGAAAATGAGGTCTCAGGTATGTCAGTATTACAGCATTGTTGAGAAAGGCAGAAAATGGTTAGAAGGTGAAAAGGAAAAGCAATCTGACAAGGCATGGAAAAGAAAAAAATGCTAGCAGTTACAGAAAGAAAACTAAAGTGAGGTACATTATAAACATAAAATTCATCCACTTTATCGTCTTCATAACAGCATTTAAAATTAAAAGGCAGGGGCAACACTATTTACAGAACATATTTGAATCCTGTATTTTGAAGGTATGTTTTCCTACACCTTATAATTTATAAACACTTGCATTGTTTTAGTGCGTTTTACAGGTGGATTATCAGTAATTGATAGCTCTTCCTCCGTCAATAAAAGAAGCCAACTAATTTCT